CTTGGGCAGGTGGCCCTGAGTTGTTTCTGAAAAGCCCCTTGAGCAAACCACAGGAAGTGAAGCAGTAAGCAGCATTCCTCTGTGGTCTCTGCTTCAGTTCATGCCTCAAGTTTCCACCCTGAATTCCTGCCCTGACTTCCCTTCATACAGGACTACAGGACTGTAAGGCAAAATAAATTCCTTCCTCCCCAAGTTGCCTTTGTTCACGGTATTTTATCTCACAAAGGAACCTATGGCAGGTGCCAACTGCTGTTGTCATGGTGTGGGTCTTCTTTAGGCTGCCCTATAGTTAAGATTTCATTAGTGCAGTGTCTAGCTCGAGTGTAGAAGACACTTTCTCACAACAGATGTTCTGGTCCTCAAAAGAAGCTTCTTTGATGAGAAGTGAGAGATACACTAACCTCTGGGTATAAAAACATTTAGGCCTCAGTTAGAGATTACATTAGTTTAGGAAAATGGTGGTAGTAGGTTCTTGTCTAGTGTCCATGACCTCTGCAGCCATGGGTACTTGTTGAGCTATATAGTGCCTTGATACCATAAGCATGGATTCTCCCCTTTGGGCAGGCTTTAAGGTCCAATTAGGTGACTACTGACTATCACCAAGATATAAGTGACACCATCACATCCTTGGGGATATTGTGCTGTGATTGTTTTGGGGCTTGCGGGTATCACAGCTGTTAGGACTACTGATTGCTTTCCTCTCTTGATGGCTTGCCTAGCACCTTTAGATACTTTGAGAACTGGTCCTTGGTTCCAGGTCAGTTCTATCCTGATTCCTCCAAGTCCTATGTCTGACGTATGTGGGTCTTACCTCCAAGTTCTAGGGAATACTCAAGGGCAATGGCAATAGCCTACATTGCTTTGAGAGTCTCTTGGACTCCCCTGACCAACAACTCAAAGTGAGTTTCCATGTCTGGCAATGGGTTTTTTGTTAGTCTATGGCTTTTGAGAGGAACATTATCACCACAGCCTAGCTTCATTTAAAACACATATAGAACATGCAAATTTAAGTAAATATAAAATAATATTGTCTCCCTATGGCTTTTCAATCATGTCTAATGTTCTTTATCCCTCTTCCTTTCACTCCCTCAGTATTTCCCTCCACCTCCCTCCCCTGATAAAGCTTCCTCCACTCCGTTTTCCCCATTTCCCCTTCATAGCATCTGCATCCCATTATCCACGTCTCTATTTTTTAATGTCACTGAACAAAGGTGAGCTACTCTGGAATCAAGCAGCAAGCCATGCTTTAAATCTCTCTGGATGTGGCCATACCGAAGCTTTGGAATTTGTGGAGGAATGACTGACTTGACCAGAGTTCATAGGCAATGGGTCATCCTTTTAGAGATTCCATAATATGGCACGGAAAGACCTTAAACTGTTCATATTTTCCTGGAGGACTCGGGCGTGCCTTTAGTGGCTTGGAGGTGGTGTTTCCGGAGATGTAGGTGCTTGTGTGGGCACCTGTGGGCACACGCTCCTGAAGTGGCATGCTCTCAACTTTGTCAAGAGTGAAGTGAAGAAACAGAAACGGGTGAGGGATGTCAGCATGTGCAACACCAGCTGAGTTATGGGGTTTGAAGAGATCCAGGTATGTCAACAGGGCAAAGGCTTTGGCAGTGTCTCCACTCCCTAGCCAATGCCCTACAGTCACCCACAGTCTCAAAAACTGAAGGCTGCTACACTCTCTACAATTGGTACAATGGACTCTAGAGCCTCCTTCAGATTATTGATGGGACATAGGCAAGAGCCAATGTGGAGAGAAGTCAATGTGCTTAAATTAACGGCCAGTCTTGTCAGTTTTATTGGATTGGTAAAGGACACTTCTCTATGTCTGTGATGGAGTCTCCAGACACAGAGCTTGTGGGCTCTGACCTATCCTGTACAATAATCTCCTGAGGGTTCCTACCAGGATGGCATTGCCGAGAATGGTACAATCTAACATGAAACCCAGGCATTGCAGAGAGGGGCAAGATCTAACATGAAGCCCAGCTAGAAGCAGGCCCCTGGGGCCAAGTCCTTAGGAGATGTATGGTGTCCTGGCCATTTCTATTACTCCCTTTTCTCTGCTTCCTGGCAGACATGGTGTATTCATCATACCCTCCTTCCCCTGATAGACTAATAGTTTTGAAACCATGAGACAAAATAAGCTTTTTTTCCCTCAGGCTCTGTCAGATGTTTTTGTTTTGTTTTGTTTTTGTTCAGTGACTAGAGGTCCACTTTTTCTGAAAAACTAAATGGAAAAGATAGAAACAATACTTGAGATGGTTTCAAAACAACGGGAGTCCTGTCCTAGGTGAGAAACCTAAAGTCCTTTGCCAGGATAAAGATCTCATAGATGTCCTTCCTATTTATTTGTCCATATTATCAGCATGAGCTCTGCCTCCTCCTCCTGGAATTCTGAACTCTGATTAGATTCTGGTCTCCATCTTTCCTAGAGGGACTTGGGATTAATTCCTAAATGGATGTTCAGAAAAGCATGGCAATCTCAGTTACTTCAGCCAGTGAAACTAGCTTAGAAAGAAAGGGGCATGTGAGCCAGCCTTGGCTCAGGGGACAAGACAACTTGTTTTTCAGGGGGTTGGGGGAGCTTACCCTCACCCCCTGCTTTCACGTCAACCAAGTTTGGAGTAGCCCAATTTAAGACTCCCTACTAAGTGAAAAGACCTTTACCTTTGGGCTTAAAATGAGCTGGATGTGGATTTTTCTTCTCACAGCTTGAAGCGCACCAAATGAAGCAAACACAAATACTCAAAGCTCATACTGTCCTGCTTCGTGCAAAACCCGCGACACCAATGACAGCCACAAAAGCGCAGTGACAATGTCTCCACATGACCCGTTTAGAAAGCACAGCATTTCTGGCCAACCCTTACCAACCTGAATGAAAATTAAAATGTCTAACATCTATTCCTGTGCACATTTAAGAATTTTATAGCTGTGACTCTTGATTTTGACCTTCTCGCTACTTGCTAATGCTATTGCCTTAGTGGCAATGTGCTGCCTTGGAAATACTGATGAGTGTTCATTATAATCACAGACTACGACCACATCTTCACTTGAACGCTTTAGGCACAGCATTTCATTTCCATTGTGACTATGGATTTTCCCAGTTTCCCAGTAGGTAGAAACCAAGCGAATGAACACATGTCTGGTAAACAGTAGACACAGACAAAGCCCGGCCTGTTTCTCATTTGTTGCTATGTCCCTGTATACTGCCATTAGCAATTAATTTTTAAGGTGGAGTGAAAATCCAATATTCCTGTAGACGATGCTTTCCAACTAAAAGCAGAGAGTGTGGAGACCTTGTGAAAAAAATTCAAGCTCTGACACTCCATCTTGGATCTGCCGAATGAAAAGTAAGCATTTGAACAGGATTCCCCGTGACATCCTGCCCAGCAGAGATGAGAAGCCCTGGCAACAGGATGAGGCCCTCCTGGAGGTAGCAGGGAGAGTCTCCTGTGAGTCCATGAGAACCTGAGAAAGTCTGTGAGAGAGCCAGGAAGCCAGCAAGTATCTGCCAGAGCCTGCAGAGCATGTCTGGGCCGTGTTTCCATGAGGCAGTCGTGAGTGACCTGGCAGAAGGCAATCCGGACGCTGCGAGTTCCAGATAACTGCCACCCATCCTGGCTTTAATACCAGCACAGAAGCACACTTCTGGAGAGAAACACAACAGGCATCAAGAGGAAATCAAATTCAGCACCTGGATCCAACCTGAAGCCTGGAACCAGGAAAACCAGGTCAGCTTGGGCCATTCAGCACTGCCAACAGCTCAGGGTGAACATGCAGAGCTGTGTGTGCAAAGGAGGAGAGCCGCCATGCAGGGCTGTGTGTGCAAAGGAGAGCCGCCATGCAGGGCTGTGTGTGCAAAGGAGAGCCACCATGTAGGGCTGTGTGTGCAAAGGAGAGCCACCATGCAGGGCTGTGTGTGCAAAGGAGGAGAGCCACCATGCAGAGCTGTGTGTGCAAAGGAGAGCCGCCATGCAGAGCTGTGTGTGCAAAGGAGGAGAGCCGCCATGCAGAGCTGTGTGTGCAAAGGAGGAGAGCCGCCATGCAG